GCTAACCTGATGGGCTCATTGACAATATGAGCCCATCAGGTTAGCAAGAAACACAGCCACCCTGGAAGACATTTATGGGGTCCCCCCTAACCAACTTTCTGGACTGAAGAAGCTGCTTGGGCAAGCAGTGAAATGTATCAGACCAAAAGAAAAGAACTCCAGTTGCCATGACTCAACCCGCAGATAAGCTGTTTGATGCCTCCTAAAGCGTTAACCTTCAATGCATTCTTAACTTTTTTTGTTCTTCATTTCCATTTTTTTAAGACATGGCTATTAAATCTGTTAATATTCTAGAGAGAGTTAGGCTGCAGTTCAACAAACTTCTCTTCTGTACAGGTTTGTATGATACACGCAATAACAAGATTTCTGCTTACTTCTGTACAGAAACTTTCCTATCCTGAACTGAAATCCCTGCAATGCATTGCAGAATGATAGTATTTAGAACATGTTAATGAGATACTGCTACATATGTTTATTCTCCTTTTGTAACTTTTCTAGTATTGATCTTAATTTTAAGATGTATCCAACTGAATTCAATAGCTTTTAATATCTTCTAACATAGTGCCATTATAATATCTTCTAATACAGTATTTCACTTTAGACTATAGCCCTGGGGGCCTCCCACGTAAATATAAACTAGGTCCAATCTGCTTTAGTAATATTAGTACAAAAAATGACACTGTGGTCCTTGAAAGTTGCTCCAATTTAGAGAGACAAACAATGCTAAAATCAAATTGCTCACACAGAGAGGAACTGCTAGCGTGGAAAAGAAAATGACTTAATGGAAGAAATGACATTCAGAAACAGAGATGAAAAGCAACATAATTTGGTAGCATAGAAACGAAATGTTTTGTTCTTTGAGAGAAGCATGACTTCAGGTCCATGAATAGAACATGAAGACTGGAAGAACACCAAAGACATGGAGCATGTTTAAGAGTTTCAGGCAGAAACAAATAATGGACTTTGACATTGGCCCATGGAATTTATGATGAAACAAAGGATGCTAAAACATGCAGAAATGAAAGGCAATTATGGCATGCAGAAGTTATGAAAGTTGAAGAAATAACACATTGTAGAAGTGAAAAGAGGGGAGAAGCCTGCTCCTCTAGCAGCATTTATTTTCCAATGGAATTAAATAAAAGCAAACATATGTAAGATAATACAGTATTTTGATTAAGAATTATTATTTTGAAGGAACCTATGGAGATTCTATTATAGACGATATATTGCCATCTTCAATTTTCTGTAGTCACTTGTGAATGGGTCCTACCCTGTCACTTGTGAATGGAAGGGCGATGCTTCCATTCACAAGAGCCCTTTCTATGAGCACAACTTGCTTTCTGTATACAGATATTTCTGCCATTCATGAACCTTCAAGATAAGATCCAAGTCAAATGGAATAAAAAATCTATTTATGTATGCTAATTAGTATTTCCTTGAGATTAGCATGGCCTCAGAGAAGACAATGCGCTATGAATTATCTTAGGTATGTGCTTGTATTTTAGCCAAAAACCAAAACAGAAATTCTTAATATCACATCAGAAGCCATGTTAGCTGAATGCCAGGCCACTGTTTGGATTTCTTCTGTAAGAAAAAACTCTCTTTGGATGACTGCTATTGATATCTCCTCTTCTTTTCTGTTGCTTCTCTATCTACTCATACAGTATTTGCAAGAACCTTAGGTAATCACAACGATTTTACCCACCTTTATAAGAGAAGAAACAGCGTCCATATGTTCTTTCATAGATTCATGTTAGTAAGAGAGAAACTACATGAACAAGAATCTGTCTATGTTGCTTAAATTTACACACACACACACACAAGAATGACATTGTATACATGCTGCTACTGCTGCCTTCTTCATTAAGAGACCCATCATGCTTCTGTGCTGATACAGCCTAGTTAAGGAAGAGAAAGGTGTGAAAGCTGTGAAGCCACCTGCATCAAGAGGAGAGGCTGGACACTGTGGCCACAACTCTGATAGTGCTGGGCTTATAAAGACAGACCACTATTGTGATGTCCTATTGAGGCTGGCTGGTAAGAGGCCATTGTGACCTCCCAGTGACACTGCCTGCCAGAAGGAAAAAGTCTGGTCATTGTGATCTCATGCGTATGTTATCTGCCTAATGAAGAGAGTCTGGTGTTGGGAACATCTGCTGATATTCCTTGTCTGATCATGACAGCTTTATCAGGATGCTGCTGTTCTGAAGTAGAGGAAAGCACTGACCCCTGAGTTACTTGCCTCTTTCATTACAAAGGAACCTTCTGCATCCTGGATCAGACAAGGGTATCCCTTAAGAGTTCCTGCCTTACTCTTCCACTTTCTCAAACCCAGGAGTTGTTTGTTCCAAGCAGACAACATTATTTACCAATGTTTTCTAGGATGTGAGGTGATTGGCTTTTAACTTCTGCCCATCGGTGGTGGAACCTCTATTATTCTAATGAATTAATGGGAACTATGTGTCAACATTCGTGGATAACCACCAACCTGAATTTATAATAGACAGCAATGAGAAATTAAAGTATATTAAAAATGAAGGCTCTATTAAAAAAAAGAGGTCAGCAATGGAACTATCCTAATACATTAGCTTCTGTACTCTAGTGGAAGATATAGTGGCACAAAGTTAATTCTTTTAATCCACCTTCCCCAAGTTGATACTACGAAATGTACTGGATTATAAATCCCATCATCCTTAATCACATCTCATTATTCCTTCCCAGCATGGCCGTTAAAATAAGTAGTATGCTCAGTGGGTTTTTTTTTAGAATTTACTGTTATGAAAGATTCAGTGGAAAATGTTTTAGCATTAATTTTTCTATCCTTAAGAGTTGAATCCAGGAAACTGCTTTAAAGTTATTTGATTTTTCTTTGACGCTTTTAGGCCATTTTTCTCTAGTTTGTAACTGCATCTGCTTAGTTGTCTTTGTTGTTTGTCTTTAACAAGGCAAGGAAAGCATGCAGAGCGCAGCTTCTAGAATACTTTCCAACCCCTTTACTAGCAGTAGCCATAGAAGGCATCTGTATTTTCTTCTGTGTAACATGCTAATGCATTTTTTTTCTATGGAGGGATATGTGCACATACATTTTCTGTCCTCTCATGTTGCATCTGTGTTTGCTCATGTGTACTCATGAGTTTGCTCATGAGAAGCACAGGGAGGGCTCTGCTTTGGGGTCACGAGACAGAGGGAGGAGAGCTTAGAATGGAACAGCAAGTTATATACAGAGCTGCTCCCCTACCATCTCTCCCATAGGAGTGGGTTTGGGGATTGGGGGGTATTTTTTCCTCTTTAATCTTGAGCTGGATCCAACACCAGTTTCTAGCCTGATCTTTCTTTTGCTGGCTTCTATCTTCTGATCAAATTTGGTCTTATTCTGTTCAGTTTTTAGAGAGTTATCTTACTGGTGGACATGCAGATTCCCAACTCTCCGTATGTAATTTCTTTCCAAAATTCCATTGGGCTGGGGAAAAAATGGCCTGTTCTGTTCTTTACTTATATTACGAGTGGCTAAATGGCAACCCACAGACTTAATACAGCACCAGAACCATTCTAACTAACTCATAATGGGTTTATTAATGTTTAAATGTGTTATATTTAAAAGTTGGCCACAGTTTCACTGATAAGGGAAAATGTTTCCATATAATGAGATGGGAGATTCTACTCTGTGAGTGCCACATCTGTAGGAAAAATCCCTAAAATTCTAGGTTTGATGAATACACTTATATACTTGTGAGTTTGTGTATGTGTGAAGGTTATCTAATAATAGTAATCAGTGTGTAAAATGTATCAAATTCATTTACTTATTAAGTTGTGCAACTTGGAAGAAGTGCTTTGGAATGTACAGAAGTCTGCAGCTCATAAAGTAGCTATATCAGTTTCCAGAATGACACAACTGCCCCAGCTCATTCCAGCTCTTCTAAATCAAACCGAAAGGATTGCATAGCCTTAATATATAATGCTATGCCTTGATGAATCTGCTTTGTATTTGAACAGTTCTCACTACCACAATTGTATTATGAATCAGACTGTATGGCAATCCATCTTTCTGGACCCTAGACTATTTTAGGGAGAATATAAAAATTGGCTAGCTTTGATTTAAATCTATACTTTGGTAGTAAATCCAAGCAATAACCAGTAGTGGAGTTTGACACAGCTGTCAAGACATGCTGATGGGAGTGGGCACAGATGAAAAGAAATACAGCAAAGGGGTAAGAAGCAATCAAAGACAGAACCAATTGAAAATAACTACCAAGAAAGTATACCACAATATGGAACAGCAGCAGGAGGAGAATCATTAACAGGGAAACATGCTTGGCCCCTCCCTTCGCTGGTGTTTCTTTTCTTAATACACATCATCATTAGAGTGTTATTTGCAAACAAAGCACAGTTTCAGAATGTTGATGCTAAAACCCTATACCCAGCATGTATAATTATGCTAATTATTAATTATGATGTAGACAACTGAACGTACAACAGAAATCATTGGTCCTCCAATTGGTCACCTCTTGATGAGACATGGAGCACTGTCTGGAGTATTCTGAAAGAGTAGCACAAGTACAGTTTTTGTGTCCGGGATTGCTACAGACTTGCATATCCAGTTGGCAACGGATAACAAACCCCTTCCTTGAAATATTGCATGACGGTGACACAAGGCTTAAAAGTTGGAGGCAAACTCTGGCCTAGGAGGAAAAATAAACAAAGATAGTCTCAATCGAGATGATACACACTGTCAACTTCTATTCTAAAGTATACCTCATACTCCAATCAAGCTACAAGTATTCAGTAGAAGAGGCCAGATGGTTCAGGGCAGACCTCACTCTTGGGCCACAACTTGTCCCTGATCTTGTCCTCCTGACTTCTGCAGACAGAAAACGGGAAACAAGGCTTTCCATTTCATGTCAGCAAGAGGGCTCAAAATAACAACATTCATTCAAAGCAAGAATATTTGTTTCTGATTTCCTGTGCTGGAAGGAAAAGGGAAACCTCCTGCTTAAATTACAGCATGACAAAATGGAGAACTAACTAAGAGAAGATGCAGCTCCATATCAGATGGAAAGCAAAATTCCTCAATTACTGAAAAATCCTTTAATGGAAAACTGGTAGGTTTACAAAAGATGTGATTTCTATCCAATCCCTTTCAGATGGATGGTGCAGTCTATTCTTGTTTCTTCAGATCTGTAATATTTCTCTATCACACTCTTTTCCTAGTGGCATATAAATATAGCAGAATAGTGACATAGTGCTTACGTATTTCTTATGAGGAATATTAGGAACCATCATCTCTTCGAAAGGACAGATCTCTGCAGGATCATCAATTTTCTGTAAAGCTGCATATTTATATGGGTCCAGAAGCTTACCTGTTAATTGAGATGTACATGTAACTGAACTGGATAGAAATGAGTCTGTCTAGAGTAAAGTTTCTCAATCTCAGCAACTTTAACATATGTGGACTTCAACTCCCAGAATTCCCCAGCCAACATGCTATAATTTTTTTCCATTGGTCCAGTATATTGAAAATCCAAATCTGTTACTATTAACTCGTTAGTTTTACAGTCTGAAATGAAAAGTATCAATCCAGTTGAGTACGTCACATCCTGAATCTTACTGAAGATGGGACCTTTTTCATTGCCTGCCTTTCTGAAAAAGGCCTGCTCAGGAGCTATACATTTTAAAAAGTCTAGAAACAGAGTACTGAGAACGTAGGAGCCTCTGGGAGTAAATGTGTGCCTTATTCTTTATACAAGACCACTATGCACCTATGAACAAATATCACACGAGAAGGATAAATCTTAAATGCTATCAAAAGTGTTTTACATTTTCTTATAAAATATTTTGCCATGTCTGTTAACCACCCCAATCATATGTCTCTGAGTAGTATATAGGGATGGAAGATCAGTACCTGAGACCTTGCTGTAACGGATGAGCAAATGCTGCCCAAATATAGTCAAAACACAAGAATGATCATTATTCTGTTACAAGGTTTTATCAGTTTTAAGAATCAAAAGACCTTAGAATATTATTATTGCCATGATCTTTAGTCACATTATCTTCATAAATAGTTTTCTCCAGCTCAGTAGTGTCTTGTCTTGTGAAGAAATACTTTTCTAAAATGTCTTGTGCAGATGGAATGCCCACATAACACCTCTCCTTTGCGAGCTGCACTGGTTGCCAGTTTGTGTCCGGGAGCGATTCAAGGTGCTGGTTGTCACCTATAAAGCCCTACATGGCATAGGGCCTGGTTGCTTGAGGGACCTCCCATAGTACCTGCATGGCTGATTCGATCTGTCAGGGTTGGAACGCTCCGGGTTCCTTCAGCTAAGCAATGCCAACCCCAGAGGTGAACCTGAGCTCTGGAATGAGGTTTTCCCTGAGATCTGAACGTCCCCTGCCCTGCTGGTGTTTCAAAGGGGCCTGAAGACCTGGCTTTTCACTCAGGCCTTGGGTGGGGATGACTGGAGCCTCCTTTTAAGTTAGCCTGGTTTTTTTTTTGGTTCCGCCTGGTTTCTTATCTTGCCATCTCTACCTTTCTTGTTGTTTTTCTTGTCTGTTTTTCATGTTTTAAATCATTTGTAAACTGACCAGAATCACTAGGAGCTGGGTGGCATATAAAATTGAATAATAATAATAATAATAATAATAATAATAATAATAATAATAATACCTTCATTCAGAAACTCATTTAACTCTTGCCCATCAAAATTTCCACACAGTCCACATGTCTTTGCCATATATTTTTGGTCAATTAAAACCTAAAAAAGGGAAAAGAAAATCAATTAGAAAACAGCCATGCATGACTTCTTGGCAAGATGCTATGTTGTATGTTCTCCTCTCAGCTCTTTATAAAATTTATAGGGTGGTGCCATTTTGATCAGAGGAATGCACCTCTGAGCCAGTCCCAACCACAATTAACACAGCAGCATGCCTATTACAAAGTTTGTGAACTACACCATGGGCTGCAATCCAGGTCAGCCTGACCTATGCTTCAGTATTAATAGTGAGACACTCCACAATTAGAAGAGAAATCTGAAAAGCCATCCTGCTGTGACACCCTAAAAGATTTATGCCACAATAAATCTGCTGGTCTACAAGGTGTCACATATGACTCCTTTTTGTTCTTGCTTTGACAAAGTAGTGCAGCTCCTCCTCTGGAATTTGTCATCAAATGTTCTTGCCCAACCACTTTTTTTTGAAGAGGAAACAGATGGTCACTTACCTTGCATTATTGCCTTGCATTATTGCTTGAACATATGGCATCTGGCAGCGCTAATCAGAATTAGATGTTGTCATTTGGGACATGGTCCATAGTGGACTATTAGATAGGACATTTTTGAACAGCAACTAATCCTCTCTCCTCATCTTCTAATCTTTTTTATTACCAGGTTATAATAATGAGCAATCAGATGAGTCTTACTTCTTTTCAGAAGGTAGATTGTACTATTCCCAAAGAAGGTTCATAGCAGCTCATGAAATCCATAAGATGGTGTTTCCCAGACTGCAAGTCCCAGCATGTTCCTCCCTCCGTCTAACACAGGGCTTTTCTTTTGTTATGACTGTCAACTACTATTGGATATACCCCAAGTTTCTAAAATGACATCTTTAAAATAACGAGTGAAATTCAATCTTTCACATGTTTATAGTAGAGTTCCAATAACTGTTGCTTTAAAGAAAATAAAGAATGAGCTATTTGGAATGGAGGTCTTTGTAGAGGTGTGTGTTTGCATGGATGTGTGCATGAAAATAAAAGCATGTTTTAGCCTTCCTTTTCTGCTATTTTTCACTAGCAATTCTTCTTGCAAGCTTCATCCAGACCATTATTCGGAATGGAAGGTTCACATCCAGAAATTCCAAGGACACTGCTCCGGTGAGATACAGTTATTGAAGGTATTAGAAAAGTCCTTAATAATGATAGAAAAGCAGCTATTGCAAACTGTATGCTTCAAGCTCCTTCTGTTGCAATCCCAAGACTCAAATCCTGTATCTCTTTTTCTTGTCCTGATGTTGTAAGGAAGAAAGAGCCATCCGTTTCTCTCAGTGAGAAGTAGTTGATACTTGTGCATGGTTATTGTAGTGGACCAGACTGGCCTCAAGCCCTTTAACATATTAATTGGAAGGTTATTGAGAAAGAAGGGACAGGAGGTAGAGGCGAGGAGTGAAAGTTAGGGGAATGTTACGAATCTTTCCCTCTCTGCTTTTCCATTTAAAAGCATCCCCTGCCTGAGCTGCTTTTCTCTCAAATGGCAATGTGGGGGAGAAAAAGAGGTGAAAGAAAGATAGACAAGTGAGAGAGATGGGGAAAAGTGAATAGAAAGATTTGAATGAATGGATACAGCTGACTAGTATTGTAGGTGAGTTGTTAAGTTATTGTACCTGCTTTCTTATTTTAGTTTATCTGTACTAATGTTTTGAATGAGGATGTTTTGTATATCATTTTGCCCAATCGGTGGTACCTATAAATGTAGTCTGTAACACAGATTATAAAGAGAAACTGTGTAGGATAATTCCATGTTCTGCTCACTTTTAATGCCAGTGCTTTGGGACAGCCTGACGTCCCTTGCAGCAGCTGAGGGCACCATGGCAGAAGCTGCTTATGGGGACATTGAGGATTGATGGCCAGCTGAAGGTGGTTGGTTGGCTGGTTGTTGGGGGGATGATTATGTTAAATAGTTCCCAAGACTTGGGAGAGGGATTGTGGGGGTGGGAGGACAAGGAAACTGATGGAGGAAAGAGGGCAGGCAGTAACATCTGAGTGATGATGGGCAGAGGGAGATTTGATGGGAAATTGGAGTGGGTTACACATAGGGAAGGCAGAATTAATATTAGATATCAATTCTGCTGTCTGGCCCTCAGAATTCAGCCCTGATGCCAGGTCACTGGATCCTCCGTGTCCTGGTCTCCTGTTGGTACTGTTGAATGCTAGGTTGGTGCATTACAAGGTTCCCCTCATCCATGGCCTTTTGTAGACTGTTAGCTGACTTGGGAGTTGGGAGAATTCAGAGGGTAGTCCTTCCCTCTCTGAGATATTTCTGCCAGGGTTTTGAGTTAGGCACCAGCCATGAGTCCAGGGCCAATGGGGTGGAGTGGTAGTTGTTATTCAGGAAGCCCAAATAGCTTTTAGAGGCTCTGTTTACAGATAACAAGATGTGAGATGCTGTGGTTGAAGTTGGGTTCCTGGGGCAATTAGGCTTGTTGCTGTTGTACTACTGTGGAGTGACTTCCTTGTCTGAGCTGTTTGTCACTGAGTTGGCAGTGGAGTCTCCAAGATATATAGTTTGGGGAGACTTAACACCTCTGCTATGTAAGCTGCACTGATTATCAGTGTGGTTCTGGGTACAATTCAAGCTGCTGGTTATCACCTACCCCTTCATGGGACAGAGCCTGGCTATCTGAGGGATTGCCTTTCTGCCTGCCATTATTTTTGCCTGCCCCATAAGATCTGAGAGGGTGAGTGCACTTTGCGCACCTCTATTAAACAATGCCTGCTGATGGGACCCAGGAAGTGTGTCTTTCCTGATGTGGCATTTGCTGTTTCAAATTTCCCCCACTCTGCAATCCTTTAAATGAGGCTTAAAACCTTGTCTCTCCTCCCACCCCAGCCCCACCAAGCTCTGGGATCAATCACAATGTGTCTACCTGGAATGTATTATCTATTTCAGTTACAGCGTATGCTCATTTTCCTTGTTATGTTTATCCTCTTTTGCTTGGTTGTAAGCATTGCACTTGTTTTTTAAGCTTGTACACCACTCGGAGTCAGTGTTGAGCTGGGCAGCCCTAAAGATCTAAATTTAAATAAATAAATGAATAATATAGCTGCAGAGATGATCACAAAACTTACACTGAAATTTGCAAAGAAGCTTTTGAGAAGAACCTTTATGGGAGGAAGAGCTCAAACAAACTAATTACACCTGTGAGCAATTTTTCTTGAAATACCTTGCCTTTTTACCTTCTTGCAGGCTATTTTTTGAACTTCAAATATAGGTTTTTTTTCTATTGCCATGTTAAGAGTGGCAGCCTTGCATTGCCTAAACTATACATGTAAGATGCATTAAACCACCCAATTAAAACAATAGTTGTTAAAATCATTACCTTTTTACTTTACCATTTTCCATCTACAGTATTTTAAGCAAAACCAAAGAATACATGCAAAATAATTCCCTCAGCATATGCCTGGAATCTTTAGAATTCCAAAATCATAATCAGTATGAAAAATAAAAACCTTACTCACCATGAGGTAGTCATCATTGTTCCAGAAAACAGCAAGCTCAATTTCCCTCAACTTGGCTAATAAACGGATAAGGTGCCCAAATGGTGTAATCTGAATTCCATTTCTAGTATATGGCAATTTGATTGTACTAGGAAGAAACACATACATTTAGACATTTTGAGGATTGTCATTTGTTATTTCATTTTCAAAATCAAATGATATGTACTTCGTCAGTATACAGATTCAAACTTCACTACATTTTCATCTTCTGATGAAATAAAATGGACAGTGGACTTCCAAATATGGCTGAACCTGAACTCCTGGCAGCTCTAGCCAACAGAAACAGGGTGAGGGATGCTGGGAGTTTTAATTCAGAAACTTCTGAAACATTTACAGACCCTAATGTAGAAATGTGGAATGTCTCTATTGCTTTGCTGAGTGTGTAAAATGTCAGGTGATAGCCTTAAAATATGGTTTTCCCTCTGTCCATTCACTTATTCAAATAATAAGCTCTTCTTTAATAAGAACTTATACATTCTAAGAGAAAGCTTATGGACCACCAAAACTATACATTTCAGTAGTTAGAATCAACAGTTTGTATTCCAGTTCAAAATGACAGCGGAAGTGTTGAACATGGCTATGCTTAAGGATAAAAAATAAGCCTAGGCTGGGTTTAAGAAAATAATGATTTGGACAAGAATCTGCAACTCTAAGTTCAAAATGGGAACTGAATATACTTTACCACCTGTGAAAGGAACAAAAATTTAACCCATCCACAGCAAATTACTTTTTAAACATTATTATTAAGGCCACTTGCAGCTCACCACCATGTTTATTGATCCTAGAGGACTCAGCATGGCACTCTGCGATATTAGAAGCAAAGTGTCAAG